TGCAACGCAGAAATGACCGCCTTGGTGCGCGAATAGAGACTATGTTTTGCAGTCACACTTGACCACACTTTTCAAGCTTTCCCGCGTAGAGCTGGAAATGATGAAACGAACCTTGTCAGCATGTGGGAGATTGCGGAACATGCAAGAAAATCGATTTGCCCAATCTATATACAGAGCAATTATACGCGATCTCCAAAACGGCATTTTGTTCTCGTCCATTCCCGGCTTAGGAGATGCGATGGGGTCAGTAATCTGAAGATAAGCCTTCCGCACATGCGTATGCGTTAGGTTCATACATAAGTTGATCCGCATTACCTTGACACTAATTGGTTGATGGAAACGACTGGGAGCTGCTAGAGCGTCATCTAATGACGCATAGGGTTCGATATCCGCCCGACTGAAGCAAAGAGGCGTCTTCAAGTTATTTTCCAGTGTAGTCAATCGCTCAAGCATCGGATCAACAGCATTCTGAAAAAAAACCCTTTGAAAAACGATGTGAACAGTTTGACATAAACAATCAACGCTCTAAAAACATCTTATAAAGGATTACGTTGTCCTGCTTGTGTTCTCTTGAATCTAGGCAACTTGGCCCTAAACGAATGTCTTCATGGCTGTAGCTGTCCGGCGAGTTTGAGTTATGTCGGCTCCTGAACAGCAGACTTAACTTGAGATAAAATCTGAACTTTGAGGTATATTATCAGAGTAATTAACTGTAGAGAGTAAAGCTTAAAAGACTTGAGCATTTCCGCTTCTCACACCACCCAAGGACCTGAAACACTCTACAATACAGTTTCATTAATTGCTTTGGAACCATTATTGTTTTGACATAAGGGGGAACGTAAACAAGAAAAGAAGTTGGTCATGCAGCCCCTCTCTTTCGAGTCATCTATGACGTTCACACTCGCGATTGGATCGCGCAACCGTGAAGCGCTTTACTGCCAAACGATGCACCGCCGCCACGGCGCATCTTAAAGACAGCCCCCGCGCTCAAGTAGTACATGGTCGTCCTTCCTTGTGCAGGTAGTTCAGCCCCAAGCTAGATACTGTCCCACTCTCGCGACTCCACAGTGAGCGAGGAGCGAGCTACAGCCGCTCAAAGTTCTAGTTCTAACGCCCGCTCAGTTGGACCGCCCCACTTGCTAGCTGCCCTCTGACGGAGAGCCGCTCAGTTGTTCTTTGTTGGGACGGCGGGCATTAATCGGAACTGCATGTACTTTTTGCTGACCGCGCTCGTGCTCATAAATAATTCTGCTCTCCTTCATCACATTTTATTCATTGGGAGCACATACAGTCAACTGCAACCCATCTCGTAAGGTAAAACGCGTAAAAATCACGAATGATGCAATTTCTGTGGTGCAAAAGCTCGACATGCACCAAAAGCTGCACTGCACGTAAACCCAAATTCGGACGCCAGGTTTTTGAATTTTTCCTTTTTTCAAGTGTTTTTCGTTCGTGTCTTTGTTGTTTTTCATATTCTTTTCTTTGAAATGGATGTTGTCCACTACTGGGAAATGCCATAAAGCGATTTGTGAGCCAGGGGTTGCCCACGGACCGCAGGGCGGTGTAACTGTAAGGGAGCAATTTTGTTTGTGGTGTTCTTGAGGGCTCTTGTTGCTTTTTTCCTTCATTGAGGAATTACTTATCAGCTACTGTTTCATAATTGATCAGCAATTATCCTTGACACTTTTATTTGCGGGAGGCTAGTGCTGACACGACTAGCTTCTACTCGGCCTGAAGATGCTATTTAGGGCGCTGTATAGAGGGGGAAATGGCGAAAGAACGGAGTGAAACGGTCAAATCCTGCGAAGTAAAAGCCGTTCTCAGTGACTTGTAAATCGATTTCGGACGAGTTTCCCGTAGGCATCTTACCAATCACCGTTACCGAAGATACGGCTGCATATGTGTACCCATGTATGCATGCAGCATCACGGCCGCTTCATACCAATCCTTCGCTTCATATTGATATAAAAGCAAAATGAAATGATACGAGTGCCGTCCAGGAACGCGCGTCTATTTTAGCGATTCGAGCGGGTGGAGCGGTTTCTAGGACGTAAAGTTTTGGCTGATAGAGGCCCGTATCAAGGGCACCTTCTTCGGGAGGGAAACACTACGGCGGCCTGCCCAGGGTCGCGATGAATTTCTGTATCCTGCCAGCGATCAATCCTACTCCGTCTTTAGGGATTTATCGTGCCAACTGTCTTTAAACTGGCACTGTGTGAACGCGGTCCAGTTCAAATTATGCCGTTGCGGGGCGCACTGCTTGGCGGTGGAGTGCCCCTAGACGTTTAGCGCGCTATCGCGAAGTCTGAACGTGGCCTAACGCTGATGTAAGACTGTCCAAATAGTACGAGTACGCAATGAAAACACAACAAGTAGTGGACGAAAAACATCGAAAACGAAATTCTTGAGTTCTTTTTCTAAGAGTCCTTTTGCATTGATGACGCCAGATTTACCTAAGTGAGTCAAATATGCATCCAGTAAAAGCAAGAGGCGGAAAGAGTACCTATGCCGGGTGCTCCCGCCATCCCCGGGATTTCTTTTCTAGAACGTTGACAGTGCTCTTGCTGGTCCACTTTCTATCCACACCTAATCAGCCGCAGAACCACTCCGCTTTTTGAAGCTTCGTCTTTCCCAACATCTGACTTCTGCTCAGTTACTACATCAGTTTTCTTGATTATTAGAAGCGAATCCCAGCTCAGCACCCCATGTTGATCGTTGATGATAGGGTAGCTGCGAAACCGACCACTTGCTGAGCTATACACCGATGACTGCCCCATTTTTCAAAGCTGCGTCGTTTTTGTGGAGTGCGTTGCCGCGTCCGAGCTTTTTTTACGCCACAATCATTCACTCTTACTGTGGTTCCATCACAGATTTTAAAGACCATGTTTTCATGCAAACTGTTCGGAGAATTCGTTCTCGACGTGCCGAATTATAAATGGTCACAAGTTTTTAGCGGATTCAGAGGTCTAGTCGGTACTTGCTCCAACGCGCCTGTTAGGAAAGAAAGCACTTGGAAAATTTCCACAACTTCATTCAGAGAATCGTTTTAGAGAAACTCGAAACTCATATACTACATTAGCGCCTCAAAAGGCGTAGATCAGTGTGAACCCCTTTGCATATGGTCAGATGGACTTATTGGAATCTCCTTGTTAGATGCCAGACTGTTCATACAACATACCATGTTTTAATGGTTGTATTTACTAAAACGGAGACTTGTTGTGGAGCCAGTGAGCACGCAGGCTAGGCTGAAGTACAAATTGGACTAATCACAGCATCAAAGGGGAAGGAAACGTTGTTTACTCTTCGTCTTGACGGATGTGATATAATCAGTAGATACGTGATCAAAAAATCAAACATTTTTGCACCCCCGATGAAAAAAACATAGGCTGCGAGACTGTCAAAACTCAAAACAAATGCAAAACGTGAACTGTCTGCAGTTACTATTTCATACTTTGGCCACTTATTTTTTTCAGGCTGTTGCAGGTTCACTAGGAGTAAATAGAGATGGGCGTAATGGATAGCGCATTTGCCCTGTCAGACCGCGTTCAGACTTCGCGATCGGAGGGCTTAACTCGCTCAATCGGATCGCGCGG